TTCAAAAATTAAGATTTTCCATGCTTCATTTATTCCTCTTTCTTTGTATAATAATTTCTAACAAATCCCAGACATCATGTCATTTCCCCTTACATACATTCAAGTATGTCTACTTGAAAAATGTCCAATTTCTTACATAACCATCTTGCCATTATCACACCCAAAAGACTTAAAAGTAACCTTGTATTAGCTAATGCTCAGTCCATCTTCAAATATCTCCAATTATCTAAAGAATATCTTGGCTCAGTACATTTTTTTTTGAATGTGCAATATGAAACTATATGCAACAAAAGCCTTAATAACTTTCCTATTCTTTGATCCAGTATGGCTATTCCTGAGGATTTATCATAAGGAAAAAATTCAAAACAATTACAAAAGCATGGTATCTACCAAAGAATTATTCACAATGGTGAGAATTTGCAAGCAGATCAGATACATAGTGCATCAGGCAGGGTAACTCTGGCAAACAGAGTCCTCACCAGAGTTCAATACTGGCAAATTAGAACGGGGAGGTGGCGGTAACGGCGTTGGGATTGGAAGCAGTTCAGAGACTGGTAACAGCAGGAATGCTCCCCCACTCCTGGCGGGAGGGACAGAGGGAGGAAGAAGGTGGTGGTACCTGAGTCCAGAAATTGGGGACACATAGGAAGGGGTATCTGAAGAGGCCAGAACCAGAGAGGAGACCCAGCCATCGTTGGGACACTGTCCAAAGCTCTCTCTCACACACACATAGAAAGAGAGAGAGAAATATCTCCTGGCCTCTCCCTTCTTCTTGCCCTCCAATCTCCGGCGAGTGTCTCCTGCTGGCTGAATCTGGCCAGAAGCCAGGGGCAGGGGATGCCAGCAAGTGAAGTTTTCAGGGTTAGATCCTGCGGGACAGAGGTCCCTCCCTGACTCCCTTTTGGGATCCCAGTCGGGTTTGGGAAGGTCAGAAAATGATCTGAGAGCAGGCAGGCATATGTCTGGCACATCGACAGGGGCCCTAAAATCCTTCCAGAACAAAATAAGGGCTAAATAAAAAGATCCAACATAAAGATGCTTTCTAAGCTATGACACATCTGCTCTGTGTTCCTTGACCATTAAATCATAAAGCTTGTGTAGAATCATGAAAAACACCCATACAGATTATAATATATAATTGCCAGTCTTTACTTTTCCTTTTTTATGCCACCTATCACTTTCTAACATAAAGATAAATCTACTTATTTATCGTGTTTATTGTTTGTTGACACACACATCACTCCCTACTTATGCTATAAAGTTAGTTCTGTGAAGGGCAAAGATGTTGGGATTTTTTGTTTCTTTGTTGATGGGTCTCTGGTGAACAGTGACGAAATATTGCTAAATGGGTAAGGTGGTGTGAAGAAGGAAAAATATAACAGTCACTTCACAAGGTGGTTGTAAGGGTTGTAAGGGTTAAGTGAGAGGGAGTATTATGATCTCTACCACATGGTAGACACTTGGTGTACTTAGTGAAAGTTCACTTCACCCAGGTAGATGAGAGCAGGTGGGGGAGGAAGAGCTGACAGTCCACTGGAGAGTGGGGTCTGTCTCCCCATAAAGGTCCACCCTACAAAGGAAGATAGAAAAGCTTTCATTATAATTCCCAAAGAACCAATGTGGTAAGACGAGCAGAAACCTGGATCTATTATCACCCCTCCACTTACTAGCTCTGTACCCTTGGTCAAATTACCTAACCTCTCTGGGTTGTACTTTCTTTATCTATAAAGTGGGGATACGGTGATAGTAATACCTGTCTCAGTGGGTTGACCAAATAGTGTTGGCACATAGTGAATGCTCAATAATGTGTTTACTTTAGCGCTGGCTCATCCTTCCTCCTGGGAGTCCCAGCCTGGTCTGGAGCTGTCCAGAGTCCTGAAGACACCCTCCCTCCCTGTCTCCCTCCTCCTCTCCCTCCCTCCCTCCCTCCCTCCCTCCCTCCCACCCTCCCTCCCTCAGGTCCTCTCTCCTTCATTTGCTCCTTCCTTTCTGGCGTGGTTCCCCAGAGCTCTGGAGTCTGAACAGATCCAATTTTCCAAGTGGCTTCTTCAGGTTCCTGAGGGGGACAGGAAAGGAACGAGCCATATATGAAGCACTCCTCAGGCAAGAGTCCCTGGAAGCGAGGCAGCAGGCTGTGAGCACGCAGCCTGTGGTGGCAGTGGGGGCTCCCCAGGCCAGAGGCCATTTGAAGAGCTTGGCATCGAGGACCCTGGTGCAGGAACCGAGGATCCCCAAAGAGGCAGTGAGGCAGCCCCAACAGCGCAGTACAGCAGGTGGGTCTCAGGGACCTGTCCTGGAGGCAGGCAAGAAGGACCAGGTGGGGCATCAGGAGGGTGACCCTTGGATACAGAGGTTGAAGGAGCCTTGACTCTGACAAGAATCCCCCACCCCCCATCCCTGGGTTCCTGTCATCTTTGCTAGTTGGATGTTTTGTCTGTTAATGTAGCTAAAGGCATCTTCATCTTTTCGGGTTATGATAGTGTGGAGTTGGCCACCTCAACGAACTTGGTTCTATGAGCCAAGCAATCTGTGGCTAACAGCACAAAAGGCCTCTCCCCAGGAAGGTGGTGCACTAACCCACTGTGCCAGGGCAGGAGCACTGGCAGCCCACATACCCGGGGGAAGGTCTGCGAGGGGGGACATGCCAGCTTCAGAGACAAAAGTCACCCATTTCCTGATTTTTATTAACGGCTTGGACATGAGAGCTGAAGGATCTTTAGAGACCTAAACAGCTATATGAAGCCCTCCATGTACAAATGGAAAAGCCGAGGCATAGAGAGAAATGTGGCCTCCATCCCACAAGTGAGCAGCAGAGCCGTGGCTAGAGCTGGCTCCTGCCCTGGCCCCGGCTGACCCCGACACCGGCCGCAGCCTCCTCTGCGTCCCGCAGGCCATCTGGTACACAATTCCCGGGACACCGAGTGTGGCCACGGCAGTGGGGCAGGGGAGCGGCTGCTGCTTCGTGGGACCTGGGGAAGGCCCTTCCTCTGGGAAGCCAAGCTCTGGCTCAGCCTTAACGTTCAGGGAGACCTCGGACAGTCACTACCCAGAGTCAGTTTGCCTCCTCTCAGGGCCTCTGGGAACACAGGCCAAGCAGCAGGTCACAGGCGCTTTGGGAAGTGCAGATCAAGAGGCAAGGTGGCTGTCGGTAGTACCAGCCACATATGCTCACGTTCCCAGCCAGAAATGATTAGCTCTCCGTGAGCCCAGAACAAGCCCAGCTCCTCCAAGGGGCTCCTCCTGAGGGGCGGGGGTGCCAGGAGACCTCTTTGAGCAGCAGGCAGAAGAGGAGGGAGGGTGCAGAGGCCTCCTCACAGGCTGGCAGAAGAGCAGCCGCCCCCCTCCCCGAGCCCTGAGCTGGGAGGATGGGCCCCAGAGCCGAAGGAAGTGCAGTCGGCCCAAACCGGGCTCTTCACAGCTGGAGAGGCTGAGGCTCTGAGGGGGGCGGAGGCAGGGCTGGGGCGGAAACTCAGGCGTCCACCTCCCGTCCAGCTCTCCTTACACCACAGGGCACCTGCCTCCCCGCAAAGATCCAAAGATAGTGACAACTATGCCATTGGTAAGCACCCACTTATTCCCCTTTAGTAAGTGCTACTTACTTACCTACTGACCACACGAGTATCCCCCCGTGCTCTGCTCATTTCAGCCTCCACACCACAGTACCAGGAAGCTGCTCTCATCTCCATTTTACAGATGAGGAAACAGGCTCAGAGAAATCAAGCGTCTTGCCCAAGGTCAGGGGCTAGGGAGTGATACAATTAGGGCTTATTCCTCTCCGTGATTCCAAGGCCCTTTGTATTCCTCCGCTCTGACCATAATTTCTAAGGCCCTCCTCTGCACGGACCATCGCTGTTGGTGTTGGGAGCGTGGGTGCTTATTCTCTGAATCTACACTTCCAAGTGTCGGCTCGTTCCAGCCGGGCCTCCCCTGGAAGCCCTCCCTGAGCCTCCTTACTGGCCCTGCCTACTGCCTGCACTGTGGTCAGCTCTGCTCTTGGCTGAGACCCGTCTCCCTACCAGCCCAGCAGTTTCTGAGATGGGATCTCGTGCCTTCCTGGGGCACCCGCGGTGGAAGGCTGCTGGCTGCGTGAGTGGTGTGGGAGGGCCTGGCTGAGTCCTGTGGGTGGGGAAGGGCAATGCCAGGGATGCAGGCACAGGCCAGGAAGGAGTTGCGGGCTGCAGGATGGATCGAGGTCCTGGAACCATGGACGGAGTGGGGAATGCCCCAGTCCAAGTGTCCTGGTCAGGAAGGTGCTCCATTCAGTTCCCCTTAGTTCCTCATCTGTTCAAGAAGGATAGGCAGTCCTTTGTCTGCACAGCACTGTGTGGGGCTCGGAGAAGGAACGGGGCACAGTCATTGTAAACGCTCTAGCCACGGGCACGCATGGGGGGTGGGGGGGGCTGCCTGTGCCCAGCTCTGCTTACACTGTGGAAGCCATGGATTCCAGCAGGGCCTGGGGGTGGGGGTGGGGGGTGGGGAGAGGGCTCCGAGGGCACCAGGGCAACGTGGCCCACCTTGGAGGATGAGTGCAGGAAGAGGTGATAGTAACCGATCAACAGAGGTAGGATGTACAGAACGCCTAAGTACCAGACACTGTGACAAGTGCTTTACATTGGGTCACTTAATCATCACAACTCCATGAAGTAGGTCTCATTATCCATGTTTCACAGAAGAGGAAAATGGGGCTCAGAAACTTCAGAGACTGGTGTAGGGCACACGGATGGGGAGCAGTGAGCGGGTCTGGCAAGCTCCAACTCTGGAGCCCACCTACCCGGGACCATGCATGGGCGTCGTGGGGTCTTCCAACATCGTGGGTCCAAATCCCTTGTTTTACCAATGAGGAGGCTGTGGTTCTGGGAGGGGTGTCTGCCTCAAAATTATGTAGAAAGTACTGGCAGAAAATGCTAGAAATCTTGTCATCTTCCTTCCCCAGGAACGCAGCGGGGCTTGTGTCCTGAAGGCTGGTGCTGGATGCTGCCGCACAGGAAGACTTGCCTGGCCTGCCCGAGTCCGTGGGAGTCCACTTTCCGCTGTCCAAGGATGGACCCTTCTCTGCCATTTCTTTCTTCGGCTCTTTGGGGTGCCCTTCTGTGGGCTGGCTCCCTCCCCAGTCTGGCCTGGGGGGCAGGGACATTCACCCTGGGGGTTCTGGGTCCCTGGGACTGTGACCCCATCTTTGCCCGGGCTCTCCCCAGCGAGGCTGCCCAGCTGGCTGTGGACCGAGCCAACCAGGACTCCTCACTGGTGCTGGGCTCGCAGCTGGCGTCTGTGGTCCTTCCCACAGGCTGTGATACCCCTCACGCCCTGGCCACATTTCTGGCCCACAAGAACTCTGTAGCTGCTTTCGTGGGTCCCGTCAACCCTGGTTACTGCCCAGCGGCAGCCCTGCTGGCCCAAGGCTGGGGCAAGACCCTCTTTTCCTGGGCATGTGGGGTTCCAGAGGGAGGAGGTGAGCTGGTGCCCACTCTGCCTTCGGCTGCCCACGTGCTGTTGTCCATCATGAAACATTTTGGCTGGGCTCGTGTGGCCATCGTGTCCTCCCACCAGGACATCTGGGTGGCAACAGCCCGGCAGGTGGCCATGACTCTCAGGACACACGGGTTGCCTGTGGTGCTGGTGACTTCTCTGGGACCCGGGGAGCAGGGGGCCACAGAGGTCCTGAAGCAGCTCTGCGGCGTGGACGGCCTGAAGAGTAAGTGCACACGGTGCTCCCTCCTGGGGGCAGCCCGAACCTCACGTGGCTGCTGATGGGGAGTTTCCTCCGCATCAGACACCAGGCTGAGCACTGACGCTGACCCCGAAATGAACCTCCCGGCAGCCCTGTGAGCTCGTCCTGCTGAGGTCTGCTCTCTGCAGCTCAGAGAGGGAAGTCACACACCCGAGCACACAGCTGGCGAGCAGTTCAGCCGGATTCTGAGTGCTGGTTCAAACGTCAGCTGTGGAGTGGGAGCCAAGGGCTGTCTTCGTTCTCGCCTGGGGCAGTGATGGAAACGAGAGGGTCGGAAGGGAGCCCCAACAAGGGCGCCAGAGCCTTTCTGTTGTCTGGAGTTCAAGTCAGACCTTTCATGGGTTCATTGATTGATGGATAGCTTCCTGAATTTATCAAGCCCCCGCTTCGCTGCGTGCGGGGTGCTGGGTTGATGCTCCAGGTGATGATAGAGAGGTCAAGGCCATCCCAGGAAGCAGAGGCCTGGAATCAGCGGAGGCATGGGGCTGGGCCCTGGGGGACCAGAGGAGACTTATTGGAGGAGGTGACACTTGACCCATCTTTAAGAAAGTAGTTAGCCTGGGACAGGCATGGTAGAGTGGGTATAGGAAGAAGTGTTACTGGAAGACAGAAGGGATCTTAGAGTTAATCAAACCCGGGTTTTTCAAATGGTGGGTCATAAACCAACTTAATGAATCATAACTAGCATCACAAAAATAAGAAAGAGAATAAAATAAAACATGATAGAGAACAATGGACTTGTGTAGAATAGAATAAAATAGAATGAAATAGCCCTGGCTGGGTTGCTCAGTGGTTAGATCATCAGCCCACGGACCAGAGCGTCACGGGCTTGATTCCGATCAAGGGCACGTACCTTAGTTGCGGTTCTGTATCTGGCCTGGTGGGGGTCATGCGGGAGGCAACCAGTCAATGTGTCTCTCTCACATCGATGTTTCTCTCTTTCCCTCCCTCCTGCTCTATCTGAAGATAAATGGAAAAATATCCTCAAGTGAGGACTTACAAAAAAATAGGATAGAATAAAAAGTGAATTTGAGAGTGCATGGCAGATAGCAGGACCAAGTCTCGTTCTGTGAAGCTGCCTTTCGGTTTTGTGAGTGTACTTAAGTTCTACAGACTCAGTTTTCAGAGCAGACAGAGGTAAAATGTATTTCTTACTATTGGGCACTGGCGAAAGCGTTTGAGAGTCACTGAGACCCACCACCAAGCAGAGGGGATTGAGGGGCCTGAGGCCAGCTCCAGCGAGGAGGGGCGGCCTGGCTGCCCCGAGCTTGTGTGGCTGGCAGTGAAGTAGAGCAGAGTGGAGCATGGGACCTGGCCCTGGTGTCCCCCCCACCACTCAGGAATGGTGCCTCACTTCTCTGAGCCCCGTTTTCCAGCATGTGAAATGAGAATAATGAAACCTACCTCAGGAGGAGCAGATGTATGTGACCAAGTGTTTTGTAAACACCATTCAACCACCAGTCACTGCTCGTGCCTGACCCTGGGCATGTGGGGAGGAACTGGCTGGGCCCCAGCCGCAAGAGCTTGAGTCTGGCAAGAGACGGATGTGTATTTAGGCAACAGAGGAGCCCAGAGGTTGGGGAAGCTGATCTACTTGGGGGTGGGCAGGGCTTCACAGAGGAGGTGACATTAGGGCAGGGCCTGAAAATGAGAAGTTGATTGCAGGAGGGGATGAGGGGATGACATTCCAAGCACAGGGGTCAGCTGGTGCAAAGGGATGGAGGCAGCATGTTAACAGGACTAGGAGAACGAACAGTTCACCTCTCTGTCGCTGGAGACAGTGGCAGTTGGTGGGGGAAACCTCATCAGACTCCTCCAACACTTGCAGGAGATTGAGTGCCAGACACTGTGCTGACTTTCAGGAGCCAAGAGGAAAAGTGGTTAGAGGCACATTTTCTGGACTCAGATAGCCAGGATCCCACACTTAGCTTCCTACCAGCTGTGTGACCTCGGGCAAGTCGCTAAACTTCTCTGTGCTATAGTTTCCTCATCAACGATATGAGCCTAATAGAAGTCCTTACTTCAAAGGGTTGTGAAGATGAGATGAACTACTGCAGATAAACAGTTTAGGTTAAACCCTGCCCTGCACACAGTGAGCGCTGTTTACAATCAGAACAGGTTTTTACCCATTAACCTCCTCAGTTTTGCGCATCAGCTCCCTCTTGAGGTCAAATATAGAACAGCAGCTCCAGTTCTGGGTAAGAGAAAGGGGGAGGTTTGGTTAGAAGTGGAACAGAAGCCAGACAGAGGGGATGATACAGAGGAAGCCGTGGTTCTGTTTCCCCCAAGTCCTGGTGGGTCTCTCTCTAAGGCCTTCCCCACTATTCTGGGTCCAAGTGTGGGGGGCTCCTGCCTATGTCAACATAGCATGGCCACCCAGGGGCTCAACAGAGGCTGGGCTTCAAGCTCTGATTCCCACATGACGAGGATTCCTCAGGCCCCAGCGAGGACACCCTCAGCCTTCCTTGGTGGGTCCATGTTCCCAGATTTTTGGAGAAAGGGATTGCAGTAGGAACCTGCACCACATTCAAAGCAAGTGCTGGTCTTTTTCTGGCTGGGGTTGCAGCCCTGGTCAGGGACCCAAGATGCAGAGCACCTTTACCCTGGGCAGAAGTGTGGGAGCCTCACCTCGGGCAGGGCTCCCTTCTGGATGGAGTGCCTGGGGAAGAAGTTGGCTACCCTCTTACCCAGGGCCTATTTCTTCTACTAAAGGCAAAGGGGAACCAGAGCCATGGCTGAGATCACAAGCCAATGATAACTGGATAAACAAAATGTGGTGTATCCTTACTGTGGAATATTGTAGCCATAACAATGAAAGAAGTACTGATAGAGGCGATTATACGGATGAACCTAGAAAACATCGCACTAAGTGAAAGAAACCAGTCACAAAGGACCACATCTTGCATGATCCCATTTACGTGAAATGTTCAGAATAGGCAAATCCATAGAAAGCAGATGAGTCGTTAGTTAACTGGAGTTAGGGAGAAAGAAGAATGGGGAGTGACTACTCATGGGTACAGGGTTTATTTTTGGGGTGATAAAAATATTCTAGCCCTGGCCGGTTTGGCTCAGCAGTTGGAGCGTCGGCCTGCAGTACAGAGAGACCCGGGTTTGGTTCCCGCTAAGGTGGCAGCCACTCGATGTGTCCCTTCACGTCTATGTTTCTCTCTCTCTCTCTTCCTCTCTCTCTCCCTCCCTCTCTATCTGAACAAAAAATGGAAAAATGTCCTTGGGTGAAGATAAAAAAAAAAAAAAATTCTAGAATTAAAAAGTGATGGTTACACGACTGTGTGTATATACTGAAACCACAGAATTCACTTTTTTTGGAGTTGCATATTTCTAAAGGGTGAATCTGATGGTATATAAGTTATATCAAATTTATCACCCGAGGACATCTTTTGATATTTTGTTCAGATAGAGTGGGAGGGAGAGAGAGAGAGAGAAACATCGACGTGAAAGCGACACATCGAGTGGTTGCCACCCACACGACCCAACCAGGGCCGGGGACAAACTGCAACCAAGGTACGTGCCCTTAGCGGGAACCGAACCCGGGTCTCTCCGGACCGCAGGCCCATGCTCTAACCGCTGAGCCAAACCGGCCAGGGCTATATCAAATTTATCAAAGATTACAAATTGGGAGTCAGTCTCCAGGTTTAGATGCTGGCCCTGCCACCATGGAGGTAAAATGCTGGGGCTACTCCTTAATCTCTCTGGACCTTGGCTTTTTCATCTGAAAGTAGAATGGTGAACATACTTCTTATACTGTTGTAGTATCAAATGACTAAATGTTTGCAAAAGTTCTTCAGGACAAGCTGTCAGTATGCATCAGCAATTGTCAGAGGCAGCAGGGCAAAGGGGAGGTGGGAAGTTGGTCAAGATGATTGGGTGTGCAGGCTAGAAGGGCCATATTAATACAAATCTGTTTTTAGTTGAGGGGATCTTATTTTCAAATCAGGTCAAACCCCGATTTGGTGTCCTGGATATTCTTGTTACAGAGGGAGCAGATAGAGGGGATATTTCTCCTTTCCCCAGACTGAGGGGGAGGGGAGGGAGCTTGGCAGTGGCAGCAGAGGGTCTGGGGTGGCCTAAGGGCTCTGGGTTCCAGGGAACGGCTGCAGAAGTGAGCCTGCCTGTCTGTCTGCAGCTGTCGTGCTATGTATGCACTCGGCGCTCCTGGGCGGCTCCGAGCAGATGGCCCTTCTGAGACAAGCGTGGGCCCAGGGCCTGGCGGATGGGAGGCTGGTTTTCCTGCCCTACGACACCATGCTCTTTGCCTTGCCCTACCGAAACCGCTCCTACCCAGCCCTTGGCCACAGTGGGCCCCTTCGCGAGGTATACGATGCAGTGCTCAGCGTCACCCTGGAGTCTGGCCCCGTGGACATGGTCTTCAAACCTTCTGGGGCCAGTGGAGAGGTGGCTGCTCGCCTGGAGCCAGAGCAGGTGGGTCAGTGCGGACTCTCACAGGGTCAGCACGGGGCACGGGCAGGTGTGCAAGTGCTCCTCCCCCGCCAGGCCTCCCTGCCTCGGCCAGCTGCTCACCTGGCCAGCCAGTCTCACCTCCACTGTGGGCACATGACACACCCCTTATCTGATAAAGTAACTTTGTCTAGCCCCTGATATACTCTCTCTCTTTCTTTTATAGGGGGGGATGTGTGTGTCTGTCTGTCTGTCTCTGTCTCTTTTCTTTCTCATATTGTTCACTCTTTTGGCCTGCTTGGTCAATTCTCCTCTTGAGTCTCTTTTGCTTTTATTTTTCTATCTCTGACTCAATTCCTCTACTTGTCATTTCTGGCCCAGTTGTGCTTTCTCTTGCAGACATTCATCGCCTCCTTTTTCTGTGTCCCTCTAGCAGATTGTGAAGATCCGAAGGCGGTTTGGGGAGTGTGGGAGGGTGGGAAGGTTCCTGAAGTCATTGCTGTGAATCTGAGGAGTGGTGGGTGGGGACTGTGGCTGCCGCTCGGTTCTGGCTCACAGGACTCAGGTGGCCGTGCTTCTTGATGATAAGAAGACAATGGTGTCTAGAGGCAGTGACAGGGATTCAGATGCTGACGGAGGGTCATTCAACCAGTGGTTCATCTGACAAATGTGAATTGAGTCCTTCTCAAGTGCCACTGTGTGAGGTGACAGGGACACGCTGATGAACAAGACAGAGCTGGCTTTCAAGGAGCTTCCATTCTGTTAGGGTGAGATAGACAATCACCATGCAACCCAATAACAAAATCTTATAGTAATAATGTCAGTAAAATAAAACAGGGTAAAGTGACAGAGAGTGGCCGAGATGGAGTCATGGGCAACAAGAGATAGGATGGGCAGGGAAGCCCACTTTGGGGGTGGCACTTGAGCTGAGTGCTGAGTGAGAAGGAGGCAGCCAGATGAAGTTCTGGATGAAGAGGAACCAGGTAGGGGAAACAGCAAGTGCAAAGGCCCTGAGGCAGCGTGAGCTTCACAGGCAGGAAGAGCAGGCAGAAGGGAGTGAGGAGTGGCTGGACTGTTAGGAGTGATGGGGAGAGGGATCTGAGTTGAGCTGGGGCCTGATCATGTGACACACTGTAGACGAGGGTTAGGAGCCTGAACTTACCACAAAAGAAACCATCAGTGAGTTTTAAGTAAGAAATGATTTGACTTGTTTTTTTAAAAATCACTTTGGTTGCTTTGTGGGGAATGGCCTGAAGAGGGCAAAACGGAGCAAGGAGGCCTCAGGAAACCCCTGTGTGGTCCAGGTGAGCAGTGAGGGGAACTCAGACCCAGGGGCCAGGAGTACAGTTGGTGAGCAGTCAGCGGAGTTCAGAATAAAGTCTGAAATAAAGCCAAAAGAGGTGATGATGAACTGGGAGAGAAAGAGAGGAGTCAGGAATCACGCTGAGGCTTGAGACACTGGGCAGATGGTAGTTCCATTTCCTGCAATGCGGGAGGAGAAGAGTTGGTGTAGGAGGACCAGGCAGAACCTTACAGAACCAGGGGTCCCGTTTTGGACATATTAGGTAGATCTGAGAGGCCTGTGAGACGACAGAGTTGTTGGTGGCGGCCATGATGGTGGTAGTCATGGAGACTGTGAGGTGCTGAGTGGACTGAGGGAAAGGTGGCATCAAAGGGAGGAGTGTGTTTGGGGTGGTGGTGATTAGGGGGTGAGAATCCACACAATCTCTGCTGGCAGAAGGGCCAGGACTCGGAGATGTCTGGGAGCCTGTGCTGTGGGCTATGGGTTTGAGGGACCTTCTCTTCCTCAGGTGTCCCCACTCTTTGGGACCATCTATGACGCCGTTGTGCTGCTGGCCCATGCCCTGAACCGCTCCGAGGGCCTTGGGGCGGGGCTCGCTGGGGCCCACTTAGGGCACCACACGGGGGCTCTGGATGTGGCTGGATTTAGCCAGAGGATCCGGACGGATGAGAAGGGCAGGAGGCTGGCCCAGTACGTCATTTTGGACACAGATGGTCGGGAGAGCGAGTTAGTCCCCACCCACATTCTGGACACAGGCACTTGGCAAGTGCAGCCCCTGGACCGGGCCATACACTTTCCAGGAGGGGTCCCTCCGGCACGTGACTCCAGGTGCTGGTTTGACCCCAACACACTATGCGTAAGAGGTAATTCATCCACCCACCCACCCATCCATCCGTCCATCCACCCACCCACCCATCTATCCATCCATCCATCCATCCATCCATCCATCCATCCATCCATCCATCCACCCTCCCACCCATCTACCCATCTATCCATCCACCCATCCATCCACCCACCCATCCATCCACCCACCCATCCATCCATCCACCCACCCACCCACCCACCCACCCATCCATCCATCCACCCACCCACCCACCCACCCATCCATCCACCCATCCACCCACCCATCCACCCACCCATCCACCCACCCATCCACCCATCTATCCATCCACCCATCCATCCACCCACCCATCCACCCACCCATCCACCCATCTATCCACCCACCCACCCATCCACCCACCCATCCATCCATCCATCCATCCATCCATCCATCCCTCCCTTCCTCCCTCCCTCCCTCATCAAGGCTCTCCCTGGGGACAGTCAAGTCAGTCACGTGAGGTGCAGGAGCAGGTACAAATAAGCAGCTCGACACTGTTGGGAAGACCGAACCACAGCTGTGCAGTGCCAGGGAAGGCTAGCAAGGGCCTCCGCGGCTGAGCAGGGCTGACAGTTCCCAGCGCACGTAGTCCTGAGCAACCTCTTCTCATCCAGCTCCTGGCATCAGGGCTCGAGATTCGGATTCAGCGTAAGGAGGACCCTTCTAACAGTCAAAGTGAATGACAGTGAAGCCGACTGCCAAAACAAGTAGTGAGCAGCCCATTGGGAAGGGCATGTAAGAGAAGTAGGATGACAACAAGGATGCAGTTTTTACCCAGCACCTGTGCTGTCCGGGCCCTGTGTTAGGATCCAGGGACCCTGAGGTGAATAGGACACAGGCCCTGCTCTCAGTCTAGTGAAAAGGGCCTGCCATCTGGCAGACAGGAGGCCACCGTGTGATCAGGACGGTAACGGGGTCTGAGCAGGGTCTGCGGGGCCCCAAGGCAGGGAGCCCAGGGGAGAGCCCCGGCCCCATTGGAAATCAGTCTCTGTGCGTGATGATCGGCGGCAGACAGGACTTTCCTAGTTGGGGTCCATTCTGAGCCTCACCCCTGGGGAGGGGGTGGGCAAAGGTGTGTGTCTCCATTTCCCAGAAGGGGACCAAAAGGCAGGTGCAGGAGCTGAGTGGAGGGGCTGTACTCCTCGTGTGGCTGTTACTGCTAGGGCTCATGTCTGTCCCCCTTCCCCACCAGGTCCGCAGCCCCTGGGCATCCTCCTCCCTCTGGCCCTGGCCTGCGCCCTGGTGCTGGCCGGCGGGGCCCTCGCGTGCCTCCTCAGGTGAGCCCGTGTGCCTGAGCCTGACTGCCACTCGGTGCCCTGTCCCACGGGGCCTCTCTCCTGTGTGCGGAGCCCTGGCTATCTGCAGGGGCTTCCCCATCCCCCGTCCCCAGGACCGCCGCTGTCCCGCACTCCTGTCTGCCCGAGCCTCTGTGGACTCCGTGAAGGCCGGGTGTCTCCTGAGGAGGCTCCTGCGAGACTTGGGGCTGAAGCCTGGGCCTCGAAGACCCTGTTCTCCGCGAGTTGCAGCCAGGCATCTGCACAGTGGGGGCTCGGGCAGGATGACCTTCAGTTTTGGAAACAGTTCTTTCTGGGTCTCAAGTCACCTGTGTTCCCTGAGCCTTAGCCACATCCAGGAAGGGGCAGTCCACTCCCGGCCCTCATCCCAGGCTCTGGCCACCCCGTGCGGCCTCCAGGTGACATGGGAACATTGAGGCTGAGACCAGCAGGTACATCAGCTGGGAGTCCTGCTCTGAGCCGGGCCGAGGGCCTCTGTGGGGGGCACTGTGCCCTCGACCCCGGCTGGGCCTGCTGGGAAGGCAGATGGGAACGAGGAGAGGATACATGAGGGCTCTGGGTCCGAGGCAGGTCAAAGGGGCCAGACGGAGGTGGGTTAACATCCATGCCATCCCCTCTGCCCTGCACTTTCTCTCGCCTCCAGACTGGGCATCCAGCGGCTGCAGCTGGTGCGGAAACCCCACCAGGTCCTGCTGACAGCCCAGGAACTCACCTTCATCCCTCGACCCCTGAGCAGATCAGTGAGTCGGGCGGCACTGGGCCGGGCGGGCAGGCAGTGGACTGAGGCCGATCTAAGCTCTTGACTGCCCTGCCCCTCCAGCGGCTGCATGTGGATAGTGCGAGTGAATCAAGAAGCGTGGCAGGTGGTGGGAGCCTGAGGTCAATGGCCCAGGGGTCAGCAAGGAGCCTGCCAGCCCCCCAGGAGCCTACCAACGTGGCCCTGTACCAGGTGAGAGCCTCTGCCACTCCCTGCCCAGACCTGGGGAGCTGTAGTCAGCTTGGGAGCCGCCATGGGAGCCCACAGCCTCTCCCGTCTCCGTATGCCCACCCTTGTTACAGAAGGGGAAACTGAGGCCTGAAGAAGGGCAGTTGGTGTCAGAACTGGGAAGCAGGACTCCCAGCCCCCAGCCCGGCAGGTTCGTGATCGGCCTTGGGAAACCACCAGATCCCGGGCCTCTCGGCACGGGGCCAGCCTAGGTGACCCTCCTGCCTGCTTCGGTGGCGGGCGGTGAGATCCCAGGCCGTGAGGCCCTGACGTGGGGACAGCACCCAGCCCAGGACAGCCTCCGGCTAGAGCCTGGACCCCCAGCTAACAGGGAGGCTGGAAAGTCAGAGGTTAGACTGGCAAGGTCCTCAAGTCGCTGAGGACACCGTGATTCTCCAGGCCTGTGCACTCAGACGCAACGACCCGCCGAGGCTCCATTTCTCCTGACCGCCGGGCTACTGCTTCTGCAGGCAGGGACAGGAGGCTCTTGCTCCTTCTTGCCTACCTTCTCCTTGGGGAATTCCATCTCTTTTTCTTTTCTGCTGAAAGGAGGCGTTAAAGGTGTACAAAGCACGTGTTGCCTGCTCCTCTGAGGTGGCCGACAGGCTGCCGCTGAGGCTGAGAAGGCAGGAAGCCTTGGCTGAGAGGGGAGGGCTCAGGTCACAGCTAGCTCTGGGCCCGAGGCCTCCGTCCCTCCCACCCTCCCCTCTGCCCTCCCCGAGTCCCTGGGTCACAGAGCCCCCTCACTGCCAGGGTTTGGGGTGTCACGAGTGTCTGAGGCCCTGCAGAGTACAGCTGACCTGGAGGCCAGGAGGGAACACCTCTGATGCACCATCTCATTAGCCTTGTGATGGGGCGGGGGTATCACCCTCATCTGACAGATCTGGACTGTGAAGCTCAGAGAGCTGAAGTCACCGCCCAAGGTCACAGAACTTGCAGACGGTGGAGTTAGGACAGGAACTTGAGTCTGTCTGTCAAGCTGGGCCCCTGGCTCTTCCCTGGGGCCGCAGAGAAAGTCCAACTTTTGTTTCCCCTGGCCCCAGAGCACCCAGAAAGAACACATTTATGGGGACGAAGCTGAGGCTGAGAGGCTGAGGGGCCTGCCCGAGGTCACACAGCTGGGAACCAGCAGCAGCGAATGCCTGTTCTTCCTTGAGCAGGGAGAGTGGGTGTGGCTGAAGAAGTGTGAAGCTGGCACGGCCCCTGAGCTGCAGCCCAGCTGCCTCCGCCTCCTGCGAAAGGTAGGCCTGCAGAGGGCCTGGGGTGGGCTGGGGACCCGGTGCTGTCAGGACACCCCTGTTGTTCTGGATTGATCCCTACTTGATGTGGAGGCTTCTAGCCTCAGAAAGGAAGTCCTCCTATTATCACGATCGCCACCATGTAGCCAACACGTCAGTCACAGTTATACACCATCACGGTCACCGTCACACTCCAGCATCCCAAAGTCACGTCGTCACCTTAACATGATCATCACCATGACCCCCAGAGGCACGGTCCCTTCCCTTAGTATCACCAGATGCATAACCAGCACATCAAAGGACCTCCACTCCTTTGTACCACTCCACTCCTTGTACCCGCCATCCCGCCACTCGCCACCCAGTTATTCACTGTTTACTGAGCACCAACTGTGTGCCGAGCTGTGTTCTGGGTTTGGAGGTTACAGCCATGGAGAAAAGACAGGATTCCTTCCCTCGGGGAGCTTGTAGTCCGTTGTCATCACTGATCATATACATCCCTTCTCCCCTGAGATTGTCACCATCCTGAGAGGCGCTGTGCGATGGAGGACAGAGCACAGTGTCATCTGAGTCAGGAAGATCTCAGGTGGAATTCGCTTCCATGGGACACTTACCTTTCCTGTAAAATAGAGCCAGTAAAACCACCCAGGGGAAGTCTGAAGGTTGGACAGAATATAGGAGATAACCTAGCACTGTCCTTGGCAAGTAGTATAGCTTTGATAAATTGTGAATTTTATTATTACTTCCAACATCTGAAATCAGGTTTGTAGAGACTAAGTGACAGGAGGTTAGGTTAGGCCTTTCACTGGGCATCTTGTAACCAATGTGCATAGATGTTTCCTAAAAGAAAAGGCTCAATTGTGGTCAAATAAGTTTGGAAGTTGCTTGGGTTCCTGATAGGACTTCTCAGAACTTTCAATGTGCTGTTCTGGTTTATCTATAACTGTGTAACAACTTACTCCCAAATATAGTGGCTTAAAGCAACAACTAAAAGAATCCCCCCCAGTTATTTTATAGTATCTTACAATTTTGTAGGTAGGAAATTTGGGCAGGGCTTGGCTAGATACTCTTTTAGTTCCACTTGGCATTGATTGCAGTCACTCAGTAGTATTCAGCTTATAAATAGCCAGGCATTGGCAAACTTTGGCCCACTGCCTGTTTATATTTTTAATTTTAATTTATTTATTATTTACTTTTTAGATAGTGTGGAAGGGGGGTGGAAGGAGAGAGAGAGAAACATCAGTTGGTTATCTCCCACACGATCCTGATGGGAGCTGGGGATCAAATCTGCCACCCCGGTACGTGCCTTGACAGGAATCAAACCCGAGAACCTTTGGTCCACAGGCTGACGCTCTAACCACTGCCTGCACCCACTGCCTGTTTTTAGAGATAAAGTTTTACTGGAACACAGCCATGCTCATATGTTTATGTATTGTCTACAGCCGCTTTCTCTCTACAGTGGCAGAGGTGGGTGTTTGTGACAGAGACTGCATAGCCCGCAAAGCCTAAAATTTTTATCATCTGGACTTTTGCAGAGCAGTTTGCTGACCCCCAGTCCGGAGGGCCTCGTAGAGCTTCACTCACATGCTCAGTGCCTTGGCAGGGCTGGACCTGTCCCCCACTCTGTCGTCTCAGGGCCTCTCCCTGTGGTCTCTCTAGCATGGTGACTCTGGTAGAGGGGCTTCTTATGGCCATCAGGGCTCCATCAGAGAGGGTCCCAAGAGACAGGAAATAGAAGCTGCCAGTCTTCTAAGGCCCAGACCTGAAACTTGCAGGACGACTTCCACCCTGTTCTATTGGTCACAGTGTCACCAAGCCCTCTCAGACTCCAGGGGAGGGAACAGAGACCCCATCTCTTTTTTTTCCTTTATTGATTTTAGAGAGAGAGGAAGGGAGAGGTAGAGAGAGATAAAAACATCTATGAGAGAGAACATCGATTGACCGCCTCCTGCATGTCCCCCACTGGTGATCGGGCCCTCAACCTGGGCATGTGCCCTGACCAGGAATCGAACCGGCAACCTCTTGGTGCATAGGTCGACGCTCAACCACTGAGCCTCACCAGCCGGACAGAGGCCCCACCTCTTGATGGCAGGAGTGTCAAAGGATTTGAGGCCATTCTTACCTCACCACATATGTTAATACGTGTGTGAATCTCTAAGGGGGAAAATATTCGGGTCTCCCCCTCTTAGTTGACCCCTGAAGTATTTCTGGGAGGAGGGCCTTACTACACAAGAGTTCCGCCTTTCTTGCTTGAGCAAATGCTGGCATCGCTGGTTGGGTTCAAGCTCTCTGACCTGTAGGGCAGCCACCAGGGAGGCTGCTTTCTGCTTGGACCTGACCCCTTCTACACCTCTTCTTCTCCTTATCAGTCACTGAGACTTGGGGTTTTCAGGTTCATGGTGCCCCTTAGGTTGGGAAACAGGCTTAGATTCCTGTTCTGTGAAATTGGTTACAGCTCATTCACTTATTCATTTATTATGTTTCCACTCATCCACTCATCCATCCATCCATCCATCCACCCACCCACCTATCCACCCATCCAACATTTCTGATGCCTCTCTATGCTCAGCCCTGTGCTGGATGTACTGAGAGCCCAGATTTCACCTGGTCTGACCCCTGTGGCTCCTAAAGATGCTCATTGCCCTGGCAGATGCGAGAGCTGCAGCACGAGAACGTTGCCGCCTGCCTGGGGTTCCTCGTGGCCCCTGGGGTCCGTGCTCTGGTGCTGGAGCACTGTGCTCGGGGCAGCCTGGAGGACCTGCTGCAGAATGAGGCTCTGCGACTGGACTGGACCTTCAAGGCCTCCTTGCTGCTGGATTTGATTCGTGTGAGGACCCTCTCCCGGGCCTGGAACTGTGGGGGAAGTGGGGAGGGGAGGGAGACAAGATGCTCGGACTTCGCAGACCTGGGCCCTCTCCACTTTGTTAGAGAAAAGTCTGAATATTGTGGCGGAGGGTGAGGGGAGGCAGGAAGGTTTACTGGGGTCCGTGGGCATTCTGAGAGGACCAGAGTCCCCTTTATTCACCACAGCCTGATGGACCCCCGTTATGTCCGCTCCAGGGTGTGCGGTATCTGCACCATCAACATTTCCCGCATGGCCGCCTCAAGTCCCGGAACTGTGTGGTGGACGACCGCTTTGTGCTGAAGGTCACTGACCACGGCTATGCGGAGCTCCTGGACGCTCAGCGGGCTGCCTGCCCATGGCCAGCCCCGGAAGGTCAGCTCGCGGGTGGGCGGTTGGCTGGGAGGCCTCTGTTTAAATCCACTGCTTGTGAGGCAGGGCACAGCGAGATCTCCAGTCCTCAGCCCTTGGTGTGGGTGGCCCGAAGCTGATGTCTGTCCTCTCTGAGCCTCGGGCCCCTTGCCTGTGAATGGAGAAGAACCTGTCTCCCCCTGTGGCTGTAGGGAGTGGGTGGTGACACCACACGTGCAACGCGGCTGCCCAGCCCTGCCCAGCCCGGGGGGGTAGTGTGTGACGTGGTGCGACCTGCCCTGTGATTGCAGAGCTGCTGTGGACAGCCCCGGAGCTGCTGCGGGGGCTTGGGGCGCCCAGGAGGAGCACTCTCAAAGGAGATGTCTTCAGTGTTGGCATTATCCTGCAGGAGGTTCTGACCCGAGGCCCACCCTACAGCTCCTCGGGGCTCTCAGCAGAAGGTACAGCATCCTCCTCCCACGTAGTCAGGGAGCTTCGTGACCACCAGGAAAGTCACCACACAGACACACTTGCTTGGTTTGACCACGAGTTGGGTTTCTTCGGCTTAAGCCAGGCAGCCTTCAGCAACTCTGCCAAAATGGCAGCTGACCAGTTCCCAGGCTGAAGACACTGGTTTCTGGGTGAAAGCCCTAACGCGTTCCTGCCTCTCCCAGTGTCGTTGCCAAGTGTGCAGGTGCTCATGTAGGGACCACCCCAGTGCCCAGCACAGACCTCAGTTCCCCGCCAGCTGCTTTACTTACTGTGTGACCTTACACAAATCACGTACCCTCTCTGAGCCTCAGCTGTCTCTCCTTTAAAATGGGAATCAAATTTAAAATGTGCCAGACATCTGGCCCATGTCTGATGTGTCCAGGCTGCTCAGTCTGGGGCGGCTTGGTTCTCTGCCTGGGTGGGGTTCCTTCAAGGGCATCTCTGCTCCCATACTATTGGGTGTACAGGAGAATCACTCACACCTTCCCAGTGTCACCTGGTCTCAGACATTTCTCTCTCTGACCCCAGTGCCAGGGCTTAACCTCGGAAACGTTTCCTCCCCTTCTGGGTTCTCTGCCAGGGCTTCCAGGACTCCGGGCTGCTCTTCCAGTGGTCCCCTGTCTGCCACTGTGCAGTCCCAGGTCCTGTCCCACAGGTACCCCGGCATCTCAGCCCGCAGTGCAGGGCAGCGGAGGAGCCGAGCCCACCTCCCCTCACCCGCAGTGGATAATCTGTATCTCGCAAGGAGGCCCGGCCCCGCTGCCTTTCTCCACCAAAGAGCTGCTCAGTGAATAATGAGCATTCCAGGCCCCGAATTTATGAGGTGGAGGAGTGGGAAAGAGGGCGGTTCATCAGGCCATTTGTTCAACACTCCTCAGCTGCCCCCGCCCCACCATCTGCCCCTGAGAAAGGGAAGACCAGCCAGATGGGACCTGCAAGCCACACCGCCAGCAAGGGGCCCCGCAGGCCGGGGCTCCCTCCCGCCTTAGGTAGAGGGACCAGGCCTGGAACCCCATGAGCACCCTTGGGTTGGGCTGTGAGACCAGGGTCTGCTACTTCCTGGGGTGCTTTCTCTGGTCTCAAGGAGTAGAATGTTAAGAGCACAGGCACTGGGGACACCGGCCTAAGCCCAGCTCCACAGCAAATCACCTCGTGACTGAGTGAATCCCTGTCGGGCTCTGAGCCTCAGTCTCCTCCTCTGTAAAATGGGGACCATCACGCCTGCCTCCCAGAGTAGTTGTGAGGATTTGATGAAATGCTTTAGACAAAGTGCCTGGCTCACGATGGGCACCCAGTAAATCTGCCTGGGTCATTTACGCGTTGTGCCAATGAGGATCTCAGGTTCTCTCCTGACTCTCCCGCTTGGAAGCAGACCCTGTTAGAAAGAATATCTTTTCAAGGTCCTTTATGTGTAAGGCACTTGTGAGGTGGGTCGGTGCACTCTTTCCAGAGATAGTTATATGAGGCTCAGAGAGAAGGGGCTTCTCGGTGGGAAGCAGTGGATCTGGGATTTGGGCAAAAGTTTCCTGATCCAAGCGTAGTGCTTTTGTCCTAAAATCTCTCGGCGTCATCCGTGGAGCATCTTCCCCACGGAGCTGGTGTGCAGCCTGCTCCCGTGGCCGCCAGGAGGGCCCATCCGTCATGGTGATGCATTGGGTGAGGACAGCGGGCGGGCACGGTGCAGGAACACGCGTCCCGCCTGGCCTGGGCCAGTGCTTCCCAGCATGTTCGCATAGGCAGACTCCGTTTCAATGTCAGGAAAGGTTAGAGCCTCACATGCTACTATTTGACTTTTAATATCCGCTGACTGAGAAAATACGCAAAGACAAAATCTCCTCTGAAATCAGCAACACTTTGAAATGGATTTGTGTTTTAGTCATCACAACGCCATCTGAATACTTTTGAAAAAGTGCTGTACATGTGTGTGCGCAATGTATTATTGGTTCCATCTGCTCACGCTCCTTTGTGAGCACATACAGCTTCCAGACGCTCACTCAGAGCCCCTCGGGTCTGAGGCCCGCAGGCTGGGAACCTCGGCGGACAGAGGAAATCGCTCAGTCGGGAGGAGGTCTGGCCCAGTCCTAGCGTCCGCTCTTTAGAGGCCCTGTGACTGTGGATCACTTACTTAGCCCCAGGAACCTCAGTTTCCCTGTCTGTAAAATGGGACAGTGATGCAGACACTGCCCCCAACAAGGAGGCCAGCAAAGGGATGGGAAGGGGAGTGAAATCCAGGAAGAAGCTTCTCCTCTCTGGCTCCCAGGATGCTTTCCTCTCCTGGGTGGGGAGCCCTCCTTGGAAGAGTTACTCAGCTCTGCCTCATAACAGCCCTATGTGGTTGGTGCTATTGTTGTGCCACTTTTATCAGTGAGGAAACGGAGGCTCAGAGAGGTGATGTAACTTGTATAGAATGTAAATGGATAATCTCAAAGTTCCCCCCTGATCCCCTGAAAGCCTGAACTTGTGCCCAGTCCCACTTCCTTCCAGTGTCCTTGTGAATCTCTCAGCTCCCCTGGGCTCCCCAGAAGCTTCCTGAGGTTATTTCTATCCATTGTCAGGTGGGGAAACCAAGGCACAGAGTGATGCCCAGTGGCAGAGCCAGAACTAGAACACTGATGTATCTGACCTCAACTGAGTCTGGCAGAGGTCGTCTTGGGAAAATGATGATGATGATGATGTTGATGTTGATGATGATGATGTTGATGATGATGTTGATGATGTTGATGATGATGATGTTGATGTTGATGATGATGATGATGTTGATGATGATGATGTTGATGATGATGTTGATGATGATGATGTTGATGATGATGTTGATGATGTTGATGATGATGATGTTGATGATGATGATGATGTTGATGATGATGTTGATGATGATGATGTTGATGATGATGATGATGATGATGATGATGTTGATGATGATGATGATGTTGATGATGATGTTGATGATGATGATGATGATGATGTTGATGTTGATGATGATGATGTTGATGATGATGATGATGATGATGATGTTGATGTTGATGATGATGATGATGTTGATGATGATGTTGATGATGATGATGTTGATGATGATGTTGATGATGATGATGTTGATGATGATGATGATGATGTTGATGATGATGATGTTGATGATGATGATGATGATGTTGATGATGATGTTGATGATGATGATGTTGATGATGATGATGATGATGTTGATGATGATGATGATGTTGATGATGATGATGATGTTGATGATGATGATGTTGATGTTGATGATGATGTTGATGATGATGATGATGTTGATGATGATGATGATAAGCAGACAGTTTTGCTTCACGTTTGTGGGCCACAGAAAGTCTCCAGGAGGCAGAGCTGGTGAAAGAGCCAGGTAGGCATCACTGACAACAGAGCAGGAACAGTTGTTTCAGTATCTGGGGCTGGAGAGACTCTGCTGGGTGCCAGGCACCTAACATCTATCATCTCCTCCCTTAGCACCCCTCTCAAAAAGGCAGTTTTTTAAGCTCATTTCACAGATGAGAGGCTGAGGCTCAGAGAGGTCCCTGCCTGGTCCACCATCTCACAGAGAAGTGGTGGCAGGCCAAGAATTTATTTATTTATTTATTTTATTTTGATTTTTTATCCTCACCCAAGGACACTTTTCCATATTTTGTTCAGATAGAGTGGGAGGGAGGAAGGGAGAGAGAGAGAGAGAGAGAGAGAGAGAGAGAGAGAGAGAGAGAGAGAGAAACATCGATGTAAAAGGAACACATCGAGTGGTTGCCACCTGCACGACCCAACCAGGGCCGGGGACAAACTGCAACCGAGGTACGCGCCCTTAGCAGGAACCAAACCCAGGTCTCTCTGGACCAAAGGCCGATGCTCTAACCGCTGAGCCAAACCGGCCAGGGCCAGACCAAGAATTTAAACCTCACTCTTCCAGCCGTACCCTGAGGTAGACCCTTTCCTGAGGCCTGAGACCCTTTTCCTGAGACCCTTCCCCTGGCCACACCAAGAGCAGACCCAGGTAAACAATAATCCTGGGTCCACTGGCTACCATGCCCTGGGGCCCAGAGCAGGGGCCAAGGAGTACCTTCAGGCCTGATCCCCACATCCCTACAGACCTACTCCCCTCTTGCTCTCAGGACCCCAGACCCTTTCTACAGCCCTCCTGGGAACCTCAGGGCAACCACCCGCATGGTATTTGTTACAGAAATAATCAGAAAGGTGGCATCGCCCCCTCCCCTGTGCCGGCCACTGGTGTCCCCTGACCATGGGCCATCCGAGTGCATACAGCTGATGGAGCAGTGCTGGAAGGAGGCTCCGGAGGACAGACCCAGCCTGGACCAGATCTACACCCAGGTCAGTGCTCCTGGGAGGAGCTGGGTGCTCTTAAGAATAGCTCATCGCCCTGGCCAGTTTGACTCAGCAGCTGGACTATCAGCCCACAGACCAAAGAGTAGTGGGTTCAATTCCAGTCAAGGGCACGTGCTTTGGTTGTGGTTCATCTCCGGCCATGGTCGGGGTCCTGAGGGATGCAGCCAGTCGATGTGTCTCTCTCACATCAATGACTCTCTCTCTCACATCAATGTCTCTCTCTCTCTCTCTCTCTCTCTCTCTCTCTCTCTCTCTCTCTTCCTCTCCCTCTCCCTCCCACTCTATCTGAAGATAAACAGAAAAATATCCTTAGGTGAGGACTAAAAAAAAAAAGAAATGGCTGATCAGTTCATCTCACTTTTCCCAGCGGGAACCCCACACTATCCATGAGACCTAGAACCCCATGCAGAACGGGGGAACAGGACAGCACCATCCCCCTGAGGGTGAGGCCTGAGATACACCCTCCGAGGGCCTTTCTGCGTGCCAAGCCCCACGCTAAGTGCTCTGCTCACTTCATTTAATCCTTGTGATGGTTCTCCGAAGAAGCATTGTTATTATCTGGGTTTTATAGGCGAGAAACTGAGGCATAGAGAAGGAACTGAGGGAGCGAAAGATAGACTGAAGTCCAAACCCAGGTTCAGAACCCAACCCTGCATGGGCCTCCGGGCACCTGGAACCTGGGCGATGTGGGGAGCACTGGGGCCCCGGGCCTGCCTTGGGGACTGCCGTGGGAGGGGTGAGGCGAGGCTGCACAAGTCTGCGGGGCAGTGGAGTGTGTGGGCCTGCCTGGACTGGCTAAGGGCTCCCACAGGGCCACCCAGCAGACCTGAGGAGACATTTCCATGCCTCCCCTTCCCGTCCCCCACTCCCCAGCCACAGCAGGTCATGGTCAAGGAGAGGCCGTGAGGTTGCTGTTGACGGTGTGGTTTGTAACCACGCATGAGTGTCCTGACAGAGGACCTAAGAGAGGTGCTTCTCTCTGCCCAGTGCCAGCAGTGGGCGTGTGTCTTTTGAGAAACTAGTTTAATGCGCCGTCGTCTCATGGACTCCACAGATCATGTCATCTGTAGCTTCCTCTTTGCCTTGTTGCTAGGAAGCTCATAGCCCGTGACCACATTCTAGCACACGGACCGCATTCCAAGATTAGCTTTTTTTTTTAACTTCACCCTTTTTTGGACCGAGTGTCCTTATATATTTATTATTTCATTTTGTGGCATTGCTTTATTTTCTTAGCACTTAAATTATTTCAGAGCATAGAGAGACATAGAAAGGTAGAAGTATATTATTATATAAATAATCTACGTATATTCTTTCTACCTATCTATCCACCCACTTATTTATCCATACATACATTATATCCACTCACCCATCTATCCATCCATCTATCCGACTGTCCATCTGTCTGTCTGTCCATCCATCTTTGAGAAAAACAGAATGCCCTTTCCACCGCGTTGCTGTGAGAACCAGCGCATGGGTCGTGTTTATGAATGGTGATGCTGTGCCGAGCACGGGCTCCTTTGCCAAGTCCTTTCTGCCCACATCACATTGAACTGACCCACTTTTTCTCCAGCCGCCTGTGCTGTCCCTCAGCAGAGCTGCCATCCCCCCGTCTGTTACATATCTGGTCCCCGCCAGTCCAACTCCCCCAGGCAGGGACGGTGTCTGGTTCATTCCGTGGCCCAGACCATTAAGCTGCAGGCCGAGCGTGTTGACCTTCAAGGATGAATTGGGAATGTTGTTCCATCTTCAGTTCAAAAGCATCAACCAAGGCAAGAAGACCAGTGTTGCCGAGTCTGTGCTGCGGATGTTGGAGAAGCATTCCCAGAACCTGGAGGACCTGGTCCAGGAGCGGACTGAGCAGCTGGAGCTGGAGAGGCAGAGGACAGAAAGGCTGCTGTCTCAGATGCTCCCTCTGTGAGTGGCCCCTTGGGGATGACTGTGCCTCTAACCTCGGCGGCCCTGAGCATGGGACCTGGAACATAGTAGGTGCTTAGTAAATCTGGGTTCCATGAGCTCATTCAATTCATTCACTGTTTATGTAACTGACATATTTTCCTAGAGCCCTTACTGTGCTGGGCACATGGGTTTTTAATTTCTGCTACCTCACTCTCTTGGGAGCCATGGAGAGGGTATAATGTCCCCTATCTCACTTCAGAAAAAGTAATGTCCAGAGAGGGACAGGTATTTACTGGAGGGCAGTCAGTCAGCACACCAGTGAACTTGTCCCAGATCCCCTCATGCTTAACCCAGGATTTCTCCCTAAATATCCCCCTTTCCCCCAAACTGTGGAAAGGGGGTCCTTCTACCTTGTAACTCTGACCTTTACCATCCATCCAGGTCTGTGGCCGAAGCTCTAAAAATTGGGGTGACTGTGGAGCCAGAGTACTTTGACCAAGTTACCATCTACTTCAGTGACATTGTGGGTTTCACCACCATCTCCGCCCTGAGTGAGCCCATCGAGGTGGTGGGCTTGCTCAATGACCTCTACACACTGTTCGATGCGGTTCTGGGCAGCCACGACGTGTACAAGGTGAGAGAAGCAGGAGGCCGGCCTTCCGTCTCTCCTTCCCTTACCACTGTTTCTGTCACACACTCACTTCCAGTCATTCATTCATGTGTTTTTATCAGGTTGCTATTGCTGTGTAACAAACACCCCCAAAATCGAGGCGTGGAAAACCGTAAGGATTTATTGTTGCTCACAAGCCTATAAGTGAGCTGGAAATTTCTCTGGATTCATTCATACGTCTCGGTCGGTTGTGGATGAGATAGGGAGCTCTGTGGATCTTGGTTGGGATTTTTCACATCTCTGGAGCCTTGGTTGGGACAACTCAGCCTCCAGCAGGCTAGCTGGACAAGGGTGGACGGGTGATCAGCTTCCGTGTCTGCCCTCGGAGAGCACTTGGTGCTCTAGGTAAAAGGCGAAGGCGACCCTCCGTGGAAGTGATGATCAGGGGAGGCAGAGAAGGCTGAGAAGGACTCCAGTCTGGCCAGGGGTAGGCGTGCAGAATAGAGGGCAAGAACAGCTTCCTGGAGGAGGTGCTGTCTTCCTACTTTGTTCAGTTTGGGTATGGTGGCTCCCAGCGAGCAATGGGGGAATGTATACTGAAGCTTAAGGCTTGAGACGTGGGCCTGGTGAGCGTGAAAAGTGCTGACAGGGTTGCGATGGCTGGAGTGGATCCGTGGTGGGAATAGCGGGTGGGTGGGGGCACTGGGGAGGGCAGCGGGGATCTTGGTAGAGCTGCCCGGACCCTACACGATCCATGTGCCTCTTGATCCTGGCTCTGAATCCCAGCCTGGCCACCAGCTTCTGTGTGGCTTTGGGAAAATGCCTTCCCCTCTCTGGGCCTCTATTCTTTATCTATAAAACAGAAATAATGACTCCCATACCAGAGGGGGTGTCTCAGAGAGTGGTTGGAGCCTATCCCCCGTAGAAGTGCTGTGCAAACAGAATAGCTTCCTGCTCCTCTGAGCCTGCTGTGAGGACCTCTCACCCCAGCCGTGCCCTTCTGATGCAGCTGCTGCGGGTCTTGGATCAGCTTCAGACACAGTGGAGGAGGTGGAGGGGTCCCAGGAAACAGCCATATCAAGGTCCACTGGCCTTAGCCTTCGCTTGTGACTCCCCAGCCCCCTTCCAGCCATAGCTCTCCAAGGACACAGGGATGGGGCGGGCCAACCTCGGGGCTGGAGCCAGAGTGGAAAGGATATGGGACAGGAAGCTCCAGGGGAGAGAACTACTTGTTCGAGGTGCCAGGCAGTCTGCTGATAGCATTACGTACAGTATCCCAACAATGATCAGTACTTACTGAGTGCTTACTGTATACTATTCTAGGAACTTTATATGTATTAACCCATGTAATCATCATCATCATCTGTGAGGTAGGTACTGGTACTCCTAATTTATAAGTGAGGAAACTGAGGTGATTAAGCGGCTTATCTAATTCTACATTCCCAGTGGGACATGATGCTGAAATTTGAACTTGGGCATTCCAGTCCAAAGACCTCTCTTTGGTGGGGCTCACCATCCCCATGATATGGATGTTCTCAGGCTAAACCACAGGTTCACTGTGGCCCACGAGCTCCCCCCGGAGCTGGCTCCGCCTACCTCCCCAGCCGCACCTCTGGTCACTCCTCCTCCCTTTAGCCCCTCGGTCTTCACACTGTCCCTCGTCCTGGAACACTGCTGTCCCTCCTCTTCTCTGGCTCCCTCCTGGCCCTTCTGGTCTCAGCATAGCTTCCTTCTGTCCCAGGCCATCCCTAGACAACATCTGCATTTTATGGTTCCAACCTAAACCACTCTGTCCCCTGGGCCTGGCAATGTCCAGCACATGCGGGGTCCCCAGGAAATACACGTTAGCTGACTGGTTGCTCAATGAGGCCCGGAGTAGAAGTGACTTGCCCGAGGTCACACAGCTGGTAGGTGGCAGAGCCCGAATAGGAGCCTGCAGTATCCACCACCACCACCACCACCCGGGCTCTCTCCACTGCAGCACGCTGCCCAGGGGGCCTGCGGAGACCCGAGACACCGACATTCCAAGGATGCAGCTTCCCTCCGGCTCCGCGTTCAGGACCCCGCATTCCTGCCCCAGTCTGTGGTTCTGAGGTGTTGTCTCCCGTGCTGGCTGACTTCCCTCTTGCCTCCAGAGCCGCCCCGGCCCCATGGGCCCCAGGAAAAGATTCCTCCTCTCATCTTGCTGAGCCCTGCTGCTTTGATCTGCCCTGAGTCACCCCTGGCCTGTCTCTCCCTCCCCTGTTAATCTTTTCTCACACATGTGTCCCTCCCAGCTCTGAATCACGCCTTCTGATCTACTCTGAACTCTGGCCAAGAGGTCTGCATCTTTCTGGCAGAGTGCAATGAAATAAAACAAGGCCTGCACACCCCTCCAGATGTGGGGAAGCAGGAGGCCCATTCCTCATGAATGTGCAAGTACGTCTCTCATCACTCACGCCATCCGCCTTGGTTTCCCCTCCGTCCCCAGCAGGATCTGGTTACTGCTCTTTAATCCGGTCTGAGCTGGGAGGCAGCCAGGCAATCATTTCCTGGTTCCACGGGGGTCTGTGATTCCCTCCCAGCACGCGCTGAGTGAGCACTTTTACGGACAGACTCCAGAGCAGAGCCCACGTGGGCTGCCCCAGGGGGTGAGTCTGGGCCCAGCCATATATCCGAGTGACCCTGGACAAATCACTTCACCGCTCTGAACCTCCAGCTCCCATTCGTAAACAGAGATGAAAGTGTCTATGGCTTACAGTTGTTCTGCGGACTAAGAGATGTGGAAGTGCTATCGTTCATTCATTCAGCAACACGATGTAACACGTAGCGCTGGAGGTGCAGCCACTGAGGTCTCGCCCTGAAAGCACAGACTGGGAGCAGGGGCCACAGCACTAGTTAAGCATCTACGGAAGGCTGGCCCAGCCTACGGGTTGTCACAGGGTATCTCATTTAGCCCTTGAAGTGTCCCTCAGAGGGACGGATCATTATCCCTACCATACGAATGAGAGCACAGGCTCAGAGGGGTCAGTGACTTGCCCAAGGTCACCTAGCAGGCCGGTGGTGGAGTTGGAATTCACATCTGTTTGTTCGTATGGAAACGTCTGCTCTCACCTTTCTCCTGGCTGGCTTCTCCAGCCGTGAACGGACCACAGCGATGTACAAGGAGTCGTGGCCCTCGCTTGCAGCCATGATCGAAGATCTAACTACATCTTTGAGAGATTGTCTCTGGGCGTCTGAGTTCCTAGAGCGCAGAGCCCGTGCCTTGTTTTTCTGCCGCTAGGGTGTAGGGGTGCTTATTGACCGCACTGCACTCTTCCTTCCAGCTCAGGCCGCAGGCTGGAGGAGGGCTAGAGGCCAGCTGTAGCAGTTTGGAGAATGTGGTCTGGATGTGTGGCCACCATGGGGCTTTCTACTGCTCCTCCTCCACAGTCTGGACCGTGGATCCCCCATCTGAGGCAGCGCTGGGTCCCTGGAGCAGGCGCATTGTCCCTGCAAACCTGGCAGACTGGGGGTAGGGCCCACCCAGCAGCAGGTCTCCTGGGCTGCCCATGGGAGCAGGGCTCAGCCCAGACACATGGGCTAACCACGTGCAGGGTAGGAAATGCCACACAGCAGGCAGACCCTCTCTTCCCCAGAGAGAGGGACAGGGCCAAGCCACGAGCATGAAGACGCAGCAGAGCCACAGGCTCTGGAGCTGGACTGACCAAGTGTAGATCTGCGCTGTGTGATGTTAGTGAGTGGCTTAACCTCTTCGGCCCAGTTTCCATCTGCAAAATGGCAATAGTAACAATCCCTATTTCACAGAATTTCTTGTGAAGAGCTAGTGTATGATATTTGCAAAGGGTTTGGAACAGTATCTGGCATATAATAACTGCTATACAAATATTTAAACACTTAATCTTGCCTTCTTGTAATATTGCCCATCAAATCAGGCCTTCTTCCTCCCGTAGGAAGATGGGGGTAGGCAGAGGGAAAGCAGGGCCTCACTCATGTTTTCCCCTCCTGGGTGTGGGGTGGGAGGTCTCTGCTCTGTGGAAATGGACACAGTGAGGGGTAGCTCTGCCCCTGACCCGGCCACATTCACCACCAGCCCATAAATGCTGGGTGGACAACAGTAGGTGACATGGAGGGAGAGGGGGGTCACAGCCCTGAGGAGAGAAAAATCTCTTCCCCAGCTGGTGCCCAGAAAGATTTTATGGACTCGATCAAGTCTGAGCAGGGCTGATGGAGGGCTTGGTTCTCAACAGAGGGGGATTTGGGGAGAGCATTTCAGGCAGAAGGACCTGGCGATCAAGTCCTGGAGGTGAGCAAGCGCCCTGTGTCTCTGCGGAGAGAAGAAAGGCTCCCGCTAGGCGGGCAGCATGGGGAAACAGGAGCAACTGGCAGGAATAAGTCAGGAAATTCTGCAAGTCATGGCGGTCCCTGATTGCTAGGCCACGGGGGAGGGAATTTTAAGCCACTGGCCATGAGAGAAAATTTAACTATCTGAGCAGAATGTGGCGTGATGGGAGCAGATTTCTTCCTGGTATCGGGCTGAGATAGCTGGGGTGAGGGAGAGATTTGGGGAACACAGGTAGTAGGGCACAGTCCAAGGCTAATGTTATGTATTAAATTACAGCGCCCCCTGCGGACAGGAAAAGCATCATCACTGTTAACATTACCCACCAGATGCTAAGGGAAAGTGCATGTGCCTGGCCAGGACCGCTCTGCTCCCGCCCCGGGGTGACAGCCGCAGTGCAGGAGCTGAGCTCTTTAGCTTGCGGAGGAGAAGATCTGGAAGCAGGGTCACTGCCTTCCTCCTGGCTGGCCTGGCACATGGCGGGGGGAAGGCCACAGTACACATATGTCCTCAGCTCCTGAAACAGGGCCTTCGGAGCAAAGAAGGCTTTGAGGAAAGGTTTGTGGATCGAATTGAGATGGTAGAGAGCGAAGCAGCAGGTGAGGGGCGAGTCTCAATTCAACTCAATTTTTGAACATCAGGGTTGCCTGAAGGGAGAAGTGGCCACCTCAAGGAGGAGGGACCTTCCTGTTAAGAGATGTGAGCCTGCCAGGACGGCCACTGGGGCTGGGGAGGAGGGTAGGTGAACTTTAAAATCCTTCCCAACTGTGAGACTCTGTAATTCTATCTTCTTTAAAACCATTAGCCAAGGAAATGATGATGATGATGATGATGATGATAGAGACAGAAGTCTCCATTTATTGAGCATCTATGATGTGCCTGATTCTTTAACTACTTTGTCTTTATTTATTTATTTTTATTTATTTATTTATTTATTTTTATCCTCACCCAAGGACATTTTTCCATTTTTTGTACAGATAGAGTGGGAGGGAGAGAGAGGAAGGGAGAGAGAGTGAGAAACATCGACGTGAAGGGACACATCGAGTGGCTGCCACCCGCACGACCAACCAGGGCCGGGGACAAACTGCAACCGAAGTACGTGCCCTTAGCGGGAACTGAACCCGGGTCTCTCCGGACCGCAGGCCGACGCTCTAACCGCTGAGCCAAACCGGCCAGGGCACTACTTTGTCTTTAATGTGCATTCCACCTAAGAGAAAACGGGCTCGCGCAGGTGAAGTGGTCTGCCCAAGGTGATGGAGAGCCGGGGTTCTAACGCACATCTATCTGATTCCAGAATCTACATCCTTTTCAGTCCATGTTGGAAGGCCAGTGGGGTTTGGAAAATAAGAGATATTCAATATACACCATGTTCTTCTCCAGGTCTGCCCCTGTGGCATTGCGCAGACAGGGCACCCAGGTCTGCCACCAAGGAACTCATGGCCTGGGGTCAGAGGAGATGAGACAAGCCTGGCCACCTGCAGCTCAGACACCAGCGATCTGAAGGATGCAGATCCAGTCATGGCTAGAGCGGCTGGGATGTGACCGGGCAGGGATGGCCTTGTGGGCCTCAGACCAGAGGGGTTATCAGGGGCTCCTGAGAGGCGGCCTGGTGTGGGATGTGGGGCAGATCAGCGGGAGTGTGTTCTCGTGCTGCAGTGTGAAGGCTGTGATTTCCAGGTGGAGACCATTGGGGACGCCTACATGGTGGCATCGGGACTGCCCCAGCGCAATGGGAGCCGGCATGCGGCTGAGCTTGCCAACATGGCCCTGGACATCCTCAGCGTGGTGGGCGACTTCCGGATGAAGCATGCACCCGTCGTGCCCATCTGCATCAGGGCTGGGCTGCACTCAGGTAGGGGCGGGGCCGTGCGGGGGGAGGGCCGGAGGGTCTCCCAGCCCTGCCCGGGGATGTGCTTCTGGAGTTCAGAGACTAAAACTGAAAAAAAAATTTACATTTCTCTTTTTCCTGCTATTATTTTGAGGTTCTAAGCTGTTATAAATCATAGAATCTGTGTTTAAATTCACGTCATTTATTTTCTGACTCAGCATCTGTCAAGAGCATCTAAGTCCATGCTGAGAAGCTGATAGTCTGATGGAAGAGGCAGGGCACCTTCTGTGGTCATTCAAACAACTAAATGTTTGCTGGGATGGGTCTGGGAGAGACCTCAGAGTCTCTGATATATCCTTCTCATGCACCCATTCCTTCTTCCTTGGCGCTGGCTGTTCCCTGCTGACTCATTCCCTCATTCTTCAAGAAACAGCTCATGGACCACCTCCTCTAGGAAGTCCTCTGGCTGAGTCAGAGTTCCCTCTCTGGGTTGGCACAGACTTGGTGCTTCCTGTTTACAGCATTGGTCACAGTTTACACATCTCCCCCCACTGAGCTGGGAGCTCCCCAAGAGCAGAGACTGGCTTTGATTTATCTGTGTCCCCTTACCCCCAGCCCAGAGCTCGACACAGATGTCATCTACTCTCTGAATGTCGTTGGAAACTCCAGATAGCTTCATCCTTACCCCCAGTGGGAGCCCAGGATATGGGGTGGGACAACAGTTGGGGTAGGGAAGGACAAGACTGTCATAGGGACTCTTTTGTAGCCTAGGACCTGCTGGAGCTCACTAAACACATTTGGGTTACAGGGCCCTGTGTGGCGGGGGTCGTGGGTCTCACCATGCCGCGGTACTGCCTCTTTGGGGACACTGTTAACACTGCATCTCGGATGGAGTCCACAGGGCTACGTGAGTGTCTCCTATTTCTATCCTGCCAGGGAAGGGCTCTGTTTCAATGACCCTTCCAGTTTGTCTGTTTGAAACAGTGCTTAGTAACGAAGTCACCACCTGGTGGCAGCGTACTCTAGCTCTTAGTAAAGCAACTGTAAGGAGATGATGTATGTCCCCGGTTCTTCTAACTTTCCATGAGGTTTTTGTGATGACATCATGAGAAAATTAGCAGAGAAAACAATGGATGTTTCTCAAGAGGCAAGAAACTTAGGTCCTCGCCCTGACCGCAACTGGTTTGCTTAGTGTCTTTGAGCAAAACACTCTCTAGGTCTTCGCAATGAGGAGAACCCTTCCAATGTTTAAAATGCCATTTTAGGTTCTTGCTGGCAGCAGGAGCCACTCTGTGGTTTGGTTAGAGCAGCCCAAAAAGTCAAAGTCCTAAGACCTCTGCTTCCAGCCACACAGCTTGTGTGCTCCATACGGTCATTCAGTGCCCATCCTGCATAACCAGACATAGTGGCCCTACTGTGGGGCACTGCTTTTAAAAGAAAAGAAACTGCTTCTCTGCTCTGACTCAGCCTTCACACACTGCCCCACAAGTGGAAATTGTGTTCCTAGAGGCTCCTGCTTCATCTTGAGTTCCTCTTAACACTCAATCTATGTCATGTGATTGAGGTCTTTATTTTAGTGATCGGCTGCCTACTAGAGGGACAGAAAAGCCAGGCAAAGGATATCGCATGAATCAGAATTGTGGGTATTACTACCCAGAACTGGGGGTGTTACAGGCACTCAACAATTTCACCAAACACCAGGTATGCTCCACCAGGTGGTGACTTGGATTACTACCTTTCTTTTCAGCATACAGAATTCACGTCAGCGGAAGCACTGCCCAGACACTGCTCAGCCTGAATGAAGGCTACAAAATTGACATCAGAGGCCAGACTGAGCTAAAGGTAAGATACTTTATTTCCTGGTATTGGTGAGAAAAGTTCCCAAAGGTCCAGTTTCTGTGGGCAGCAGGAGTCTCTTCTGACTGATGTGGCCGAAGGAAATGCCTGCTGGTGTTGGGGCTGGAGCTGATCACCTTTACATGTTCCCTCCACTCCCTAAATTCTAAGGAAACATTTCTTCTGTAGCTATTCCCTCATGTAGCTCCTCATGAGAAGGACCGGGGCAAAGAAGTTACTTCTATTGATTATCTACCTGGGCAGCGTGTGGGTGCACAACATACATTAACATTTATTACTCACAGCAATAATGAAATGGGGATCAATATCCTCATTCATAGTTGAGGAAATTAAATTAGAGAGGCAAAGTGACTGACTTGTCCAAAGTCACAGCTTGTATGCCAGGTCTGGTGGCTCCAAAGCCTGTGCTTTCTCCATAGCACTGTTGGGCTCCTATTCATCCCTCAGAACCTCAACGTAGACATCACCTCTCACTGAAGCCTGCCCTGACCCAGGAACACTCTTTTTCCTCTCCCCCAGCAGCAACTATCATGTCTTCTCTGTGTGCCCACTAGACTAAAGACCACCCCTTTGTAGGTGTGATATTGGGATGCACTTGACCATGAACACCTCAGAGACAGAGACAATTCTGTAACCTCTGCATTCATTTTTTTTTTTTTTTTTTTGTCCTCAACCGAGGACATTTTTTGACATTTGTCTTCAGATAGAGCAGGAGGGAGAGAAGGACGAAGAGAGAAAGTGAGAAACATCGATATGAGAGAGAGACATCAACTGGCTGCCACCCACATGGCCCCATCTGGGGCTGGGGACAAACTGCAACCGAGGTATGTGCCCTTAGCAAGAACCGAATCTGGGACTCTGGTCCACGGGCTGACGCTCTAACCGCTGAGCCAAACAGGCCAGGGCTCTGCATTCATTTTTAACATTAATGTTTATGAAATGGTACAGTATTCCTGTGAATGATCTTTCTTCCTACCCCATGTCCTCTCTTTTCTGCAATTCCTCAGCTAGATTCAGGCCTGGTGGAGAGACTAGAGCAGCCTAAGCATTAATGCCCAGGGCTGTGACGGGGCCTCAGAAACTGGAGCTCCAGGGAATTCACTATATTATGCTGTGGAATGTTCGAGCGGAGGGGAAGGTGCAGCTCAGAGAGGGCAGTGGCCTGTGCATGGCCACACAGCCTGTGGGCACTGGCAATGTGAAATACTTTGCTCTGGAGGCTGAGGTTATGGGAGAGTTGGCTAGAGTAAGTCAGGGCAGGTGTGTCTTGTTTGGGGGAATGGGCACTTGGTGTCCTGAGGAACAGAGGCACTGGGATGACAGAAAGGGATGCCAAGAGGGAATGAGGAGGGCAGCAATCCAACCTTGGGTTCTTCAGGCTGGCCTGGGGGCTCCATGGCGCAATACCCATCTGTGTGCCAGGGTGGGGTATGGAACCTCTAGACCAGCTAGTGCCCCTCCTGCGCCCTCCACTCCTGACCTCCAGGCAGCTGCACCCCCATCCCATGGGAGGCCACCAGGTCCTGCAGTAGTTGGGGAGAATCACAGGTCATAGAATCCTGGCATCTTAGCATTCTGGATCTGCTGGTCATAAAATTCATGATTTATTAGTTATTTCTCTGACAGATAAATATTAACTAATTTAATCCACACAGCAACTTTGTGAGTATGAGGGCCACTGAGGCCCAGAGAAGTGAAGTAATTTGGCCAAAGTCACACAGCCAGCAGGTGAACGAGCCAAGATTTGGACCCAGGCAGCCTGCCTCCAGGCTCTCGGCTGCCTCCACCAAGCTGCTGCACACCTCTGCCTTGCTTTCCGCTTGAGAGGGTCGCTCAATCCTCTCTCCTGTCTCCTCCAGGGGAAAGGCGTGGAGGAGACCTATTGGCTGGTGGGGAAGGCAGGCTTCCCCAGACCCCTCCCCGCACCTCTGGACATCAAACCTGGGTGAGTAGGAGGAATTTCCCCAGCTGTTTGGCGTTTTTGTGCGTGCAAAATTTGCTATTTGTTATTTTTCTGATTATAAAAGTCTCACCTGCCTAATGCGGAAAACTTAAAATATACAGAATTCTTTAACAGTGAAATAATCGCCCTCTTCCCACTCCTGAGAGACAGCACTGTCAGCGCAGGCCCGATTCTGAGGCGGTTGTCGAGGATGAGCTCATGCTGCCTCGGTGACTTCTCACTCGGTCTGTGCTCCCCCCCCCCCCCCAAGTGTCTTCTGTTGCTCAGAGCACTGTCACAAACACACTCCTAGTGACGGCACCAGGAGTGCAACATGTGTGGGAGCCATGATTAGCTCCACTTCCTCTCGTCGCTGAACATGTAGAATCTTCTCATTTGGGGCTGCATGCAGGTAATGCACTGATAAATATTACTGGGCATTTGTCACATGCAGACGATTTCTGCCCAGGCTGGAGGGCAAGGGTCACAGTTGTTGCCAATTACTGAGAATTACAGTTTCCTATAAATAAGACCCCAAGGCTCACAGGTCATTCCACCAGTGGGGAGGCTGAGCCTGGGGGTGACCAGAGCCCACTCAGGGTCCCCCAAGTATGACCATATTGAAACTCCCTGACCAGAGTCTTTCCCTTGTCAGAACTTCCCAGTGGCTCCTCTCAGCTCTTCCAGGCTGCCCCCTGCCCAGGCTGCCCCTTCCATTTCTCAAGATGAACACTGTGTGGGACACCCCTGGGCTTCCTGGGGAAGGACCAGTGCTAAGGCGGCCCAGGCTCCGTGTCCTCCAAGCATATGGATGGGGTGACTGGTAGGGAGCCGGTGGCAGCAACCATTTCCCTTCCATCCTGCTGTCGGGGTGCCCCAAGGCCTAGAACCCCCGGGAACCAGGGCAGAGGCTGGGAGGGGGGCAGGGCATGGATGGGCACACACTGGCATACCGAGAAGCTGCCAGGGTACAAAACATACAGAAGTACATTTTTTTTTATCCTCACCGGAGGACATTTTTCCATTTTTTGTTCAGATAGAGTGGGAGGGAGAGAGAGAGAGAGAGAAACATCGACGTGAAAGGGACATGTCGAGTGGTTGCCACCTGCACGACCCAACCAGGGCCGGGGACAAACTGCAACTAAGGTACATGCCCTTAGTGGGAATTGAACCCGGGTCTCTCTGGACTGCAGGCCAACGCTCTAACTGCTGGGCCAAACCGGCCAGGGCAGATGTCCTTTTTTTTAAGGATACACCAGCCTCCTGGGTGCAGAACCAGCTTATGTTCACAGAAAGTCTCCGCACAGCCCCAGGTCCTTCAACTCTGCAGGAAGTCTGTGTGGACAGCTTACTGGGTGGCAGCACAGTGTGAGGATGGGGCTTGGGTCCGGGACTGTTTTGGTGACCTTGGGCAAGTCCCTGTGCTCTCTGTCTTTTCCATGAGCCACAGCAGCCTTGGCTCACCGCCCCTCCCCCCCCCACGAGAGCGGCATGGCCTTTGTGCCCTGTCCCCACTATAGGTCCTCTACGCACCTCTCTTGCCCCTTGAAGAGCAAGCCGTCCTCTGACCTCACAGCCCCACCCTGCCCTCCCTGCTCCTCCCCTCCCCTCGCCCTCTGACCTCACAGCCCCCCCGCCCTCCCTGCTCCTCCCCTCCCCTGGTCCTCTGACCTCACAGCTCCCCCCCCCCCCCCCCCGCCCGCCCTGCTCCTCCCCTCCCCTGGTCCTCTGACCTCACGCCCCCCCCCCCCCCCGCCGCCCACCCTGCTCCTTGCTCCCCCCCCAGCGCACTCCCCAGAAGGCCCCTCTGCTGATGCGACTTCACTTCCTCATCTCCCACTCCCTGCCCAGCCCCCGCAGTCTGACTCCACTCCCGGCCCAGAACGCTCTGTGAAGGTCACCGGTGACCTCCACCCATGTCACCGGATCTGTGGGCAGTTCTAGTTCTTGACCTGACTGCTCAGCAGCATTTCCCCTCTGCCCTCGCGCTTCCTAGAAACGGGCTCCGGCCTCCTCACCCTGGCTGTGCTCGGTCCTCTCCATCTCCTCCCCTCGGCCTCCTCTCCTGTCCCCACCCCGTAACAGCTGGGGTGCACAGGGCTCTTCCTTGAGGCCCTGTCCTTTCCGGATGCCGATGACAGCCCCATGGGCCTCGGCCCCACCGCCCCTCTGAGCTCCAGGACACTGCCCCTCATGGAGCCCTTCCGGAGCCCTGCCGGCATCAGACGCTCTGCCCGCTGGGCTGCAGGGCCCTCCCCCCGAGTCCTCTTCTCGTGGACAGCCTTGCCGCCCTCCCTCCAAAAGCCGGACCCTGTCCGGAGTCCGCAGCAATCCGCAGCTCTGCCTCCATCACACCCCGACCTGCCGGTTCTCTACCCCCACGCCTGTCTCCTGGCCACAGGGCTCCTGCCATTCCACTCACCCACTGGGCTCTGTATCCGTCTCCTCTGGCAGCCAGAGTGATCTTTGTTTCACCTTTTTTTTGGTTAATTCTCACCCAAGGATATTTTTCCCATTGGTATTTTTAGATAGAGTGGAAGGGAGGAAGAGAGAGAGAGAGAGAGAAACACTGATATGAGAGAGACACATTGGTAGGTTGCCTCCCGCACCACCCCGACCAGGGCCAGAGGTCAAACCTGCAACTGATGCTCTAACTGCTGAGCCGAACTGGCCAGAACCAGAGTGACCTTTTAAAGAAGAAACAAATATGATCAACATAAAAGTTCCCTGTTTAATCCTCTGGGGCTCCCTACTCCTGAGGCTCAGACCCACACTCTTTCATGCTGCCGCCTGCCACTGCTGAGCCACCTGCACGGGACCTTCTTCCTGTTCCTTAATGTACACTGAGCTTCCCTCCCCCTGGCCTCTGCTCTCACTGTCCCCTGCACCCTGGCCTGGTCCCTTCCTGTCCTAAGGTCCCAGCTCTGAGGTCGCCTCCTTCATGAGAGCTCTGATCACAGAGCCCTGCTGTCACCCTCCACCCCATCTCCCAGCACTGCGTCCCCGGAGCACTTGTTACGCCCTGATGCTTCCTGTTGACATGTGTATGGAACTTTCCCTGCACGAACAAGCCCCGTATCCTGGCCGCCGTGTGCCCGCAGTGTGCCCGCACAGCCCCAGTGCCAGCACCCTCCCGCCTTTTCCCAGCCGGGCCCTGGCCAGCCAGGCACTGGGCAGCCCAGCGCCCAGCCCTCCCCGACTCACCCTGTCCCGGGAGTGGGAACCCACAGGTCTGGCAGCCATTTGTCATCCCGAGCTCCCTCAGCTGATGGCTTTTCCACTCCCGGCAGAAACTTTAGAAAGTGCCAGAAACATTTTCATCTTGGCTCAGGGCGGGAGGAGAGTAGAGATCACTCTCCCAGGCCTCCAGGCAGGCTGGGGAGAATCCTGCACCAACCCGGGCCTATGGGCTTACACCTGGTAAGTGGGCACACAGGAGACTGTGCGCGCAGGCACACACACAAAAGTGCACACACACAAAAGTGCACACACTGCACTCACTGTGGGCATCAGGCACATACACAGAGAAACACCACCACATGCCCTCCACCTGCTTGGAGACGAGGTCACAGACAGACCGACAGACACGCTGGTCTCTCCAGGAAGGGCGAGGATGCCAGCTGGACGGGCACTTGTCTTGGAGTTGCAGTTACAGGCAGTGAGCAAATTTCACTTGAAATGAGTGCTATAGCTTGATTTTTTTTTTTTTAGTCAAACTTTCTAAAGATACTTTTATCTTCACCTTCTGTATTTGCCATATCTGCATAAGTTATTCATCTTTCTATCTGGGGATGTTTGGGGAGACTGGTGGAGATTACAGGAAGGGGCAAAAACTCCCTCCCCATCTTGGTGTAGCCACACCCCAGGTAGCAGGGCCCACAGAAGTGTCTCCGGGTCAAGTGTCACAGAAACACTCTACACAGCGGTCCTTTCTCTCCCCTCCGATCCTGCTAACCAGGCTCAAAAGCGTCCCCTGCCAGGCTGTTGTGAGTCACTCAGAACCTTGCTCCCTTCTCTGTGCAGAGGCAATAACCCCACTCTGCGCTCCTCTGGGCACTTGCGGGAAGCGAATGAGAGAGTGAGTGTGTGCAAGGTGGGGGCCCAGTATCCCTACCCTGGACTTGCCCCTCACCCTGTGGCCTCCCAAGGGTCATGTCCTAAGGGACAGAGCTGGGGCTAGCTCTCCATCTCCTGGGAGACCTCTGGACTCGAAGCCACACACACAGATGAGTCAGGAGCACTACACCTCTCTGGCCTTGGTCCCCTCGCATTAATGGGGAGGGCACTGCGAGCCCACAGCAGGGCCAGTGTAGGGATCCGGAGAAGCCAAGGAAGGGACAGGGGCTCCTTGGAAGCCGTGTGGTCTCTTAATCCCCGCTCTGTTGTTCTGGGCGGGGCTTTATTATTCTTGTTTCTCCTTTTCCCCTAGGGATCCCTGGAAGGACCTCATAAACCAAGAAATCAGGGCGGCTTTTGCCAAAGTCCGACATTGTTCAGCTGCACCTCCGAGCTCAGGGAAGGCCCAGGTCGGGCCCTGAGGAGAGGGACACAGTGGGACAGGAGCCTGCACCAGCCCACAGACTCTTATGCCTAGACACCCAACCCCTCTCCTGCTTCGCTCCCTCCCGAGAACTCTCCTGCTCAGCCCCCAAGCAGCCAACTAGGTGCTCATTAATAAGTGCCCTAGAGCGATAGTAACTGATGTGTTCCAGTGTGAATCCTATGGGGAAACTTGCTTCTTGACACAAAAACAATAAAAATATAAATAGTCCTGTCCTCTCAGGCAGTGCTTTGTTCTCGACAGATCGACAGATCGTTTGGCCTCTGAGAGCTCGTTATTATAAATTCATTACTCCTCACATCAAGAACGCGTCCCCACTGTACAGCCGAGGTGCCCAGGCGCACAAGGAGGAGGTCGTTTGCCCCAGTGGCACGAGCAGAAGCAAGACGGGAACCAGGAACTGGAGCCAGGTGTACGAGGGCTCCAGGCTCAGCAGGGCCACCTACTTACATTGCATCTCTTCCGAGAGCCTCTGTTTTGTCATCTCTAAAATGGGAGTTGAGAAGGACCACACAAGGCTTGTTCCTAACACAGGTCTCAGCCCAGAGCAAATGCTCAAAGAATGCTGTCTCCTTCCCTGCCTCCCTCCCCTGAGCCAGTCTCATCCGTGGGCACTGTGCTGGGAGTCCAGGTCATGGGCTCCTAGAATCTCTGGGGAGGGAAGGGGAGAGATAATGCCTTGATTCTTAGGAAAATGAGACTTCTGTCTTACAGAAAAAATCACACAAACCACAGCCAACTCATTAAACTGGCTTCTGACATCAAAGAGTGTTCACCAAACCCTCAGGCAGACCAGGCGCACGCGGAATTCATTTCCCTGGGGCGGGGGGGGGGGGGGGGAGGACCAGGGGACAAACTGGTCCTTCTTCGAAAGACCCCTTGGGAGTTGTTGGGAAATGTTCTGCCTGCCGGCTGTGCTCACAGAGGCCAGGCTGAGTGTGTGTGTGTGTCTCTGTGGAGAGGCGACGTGGAAGGGACTTGGGTGATGTGTGTTTGGAGCCATGAGCTGCTGTGTGGTGGCAAGTGCTGGACTTGCCTTAGGGAGATGCCACTGCAGGCCCTACCTGCATGACTTTGGACTGAACCTTTTTACACCTCAGTTTCCTCAAATGCAGAGTGAGTCCAGTCACCCTGACCGCTCGTGTGGTGAGAAGTGACGGAGAGGACTGTGTGAGCACCACGCGGGTCTGGCCCCGCACGAGCCTGCCGGAGTTGAGAAGGATGTGCCCGTGCCCGTCTGTGGGACATGCCCACAGCCGTGCTCGACTGTGTCTGCTGCAGCCAGGTGGGGACAGAAACATGACCTAGTTCCTCCAAGGACCTCAGTGTGGCCCACTTCAGGCCTGTGGATGTTCCCTCGGGGCCTCAGTTCTCCATCAGTAACAGGAGCATCTGGTCCAGGTGACCATGAGGTCCCTCTGGGCATGAGGATCCATGAGCACACCTTGAGTAGGTGGAGGCCCAGCCTGGTGGGCAGACACAAGGAGACCAGCATTCAAACCAGGACCCAGCTGTCCTACCACAAGCCGGTCAGTGGGTCTCTCTAAGACCTCAGCTCCTCACTGCACAGTGAGGACCAGACCCTGCCCTGCCTGCCTTACAGGCTGCTGTTAGGTCTAAGGCAACGGCTGTGAACGCACGCTCTCAACTGAGTGTGTGCTGCAGCCGTGCCTTAGGCTGCACATATGTGTGACAGACCCGCGTGGCTTTGTGCATGCTGTGGCTGTCAGAGCTCAAAGTGCCCTGAGCGACAAATAACAGTGTACCTGTCCATACCTGTGAACATCTGTGTGCATGCTGTCTGTCTGTGTATATGTGCATTTGTGTGTCTGTGTGAGCTGTGTATATGCACTTGTGTACATGTGGGCCTTGGTGTGCTGCATGTATGCTGCTTTAGCTGTGTATGCTATGTGTCCAGGTATGTCTGTCTGGGCACCAGTCTCAGAGCAGTGGTGGGTCTCCTTGTATTGGTATCTGTGCACACAATGTGGGTCTGCATGTACAGTGTGTGTCCAAGTGCGTGCCTTGTACATGTGTGAGTTGTATGTTGGGGTGTGTCAGCCATGGGTCTCTTTCCTCTTAGGCCCTCCAGAATGATAGTGTGGGGAGCAGCCCCTGGCCCTGTGCCCACCCTCTGAGGCCTGAGGCAGTTCCGTTCTCAAACACTCTGCTCCGCCCCAGGGCAGAACCTGGGGCTCTGGGAGGGAACTGGTTCCAAAGCTGACACACTGCACATAAATAGACCCGCTCACGCCGGAATCCTCCCCTCTTCAACTTTCTCCCCTCAGCTGTGAACAAGGTCTCCAAGGAAACAGGCCCACCTGGCTCCTGTGCTGTACCCCTGCCAGGAGCTGGGCTGGTTTCCTCAGCTCCTGGGGGGCTCTAGGCTCATTTAGTCCACATCACCCCACTGCCTGCTACGGGACAGACCCCGTGCCTGGAGCTTCCACTCATATTATCTCAACCACAACCACCCTCTGAGGCAGGAGTCATTTGCCCACTTTCTAGATGAGGAAATGGAGGCTCAGATCGTGACATGATTTGTCCATGCCAGCCTCTGTCTCCTGATCTGAGGTGGCTGCACCGTGCTACCACAGCCCAGGGAAACGTCAATGGTCCCTGAAGGTCCCCAGAGGATGGCCTCAGGGGGCACACAGCTTTCTCTTCTGCAAACCGAGGTGAGGACAGGTGAGGCCGAGGGGGCTCTCAGAGCGGGCCCTCCCCTCATGAGGAGCCAGCCCAGCATTTGCATGGGGCTTCCGGGTACATGCCCAGTGGAACCCCAGAGATGGGGCCCCCCAAGTCATGACTTTCATGATGAGTCAGTGCCAGCTGGTCCCTATGAAGTCCCCCTACCTTCCCCTGCCAGCCTGAGCCCTTCCTCCTGTTCTCTGGGATGGTTCCCAGCAATGGGACACTCCTGGCATCTCTAGGGTTGGGGTTCTTGCTATGACAGATGGGGCCATGGGGCTCCAGAAGGTCCTTACAGGGCCAGGTGATCTCGACTTGTTTGACTGATGGTTCTTCAGACAGGCACAATTTGGAATGGACTCCTTAGAAAAGTCTAAATACTTTAACCTGACACTCAAAGCCCTCACCTCATCTACCCCTGACCCCCAGCTCCCTGGCCATGACAGACTGCTTACTCTTCCCCAAGCCCCTCACAATGCCACACCTTGCTCTTGCTGTTTTCTCCACCTAGATCACTTTAACCCTTTTTCAACATTTGGTGAACTCCTACACATCCTTCAAAGTCCACGTGAAAAGCCACTTCCTCCCCAAACCCTTTTCCAACTAACTGCCTCTTGTATGTAATTTGTTGTCATGCCTGACTCTCCCTTGATGGCAGCAACCTTGCCTAGTTCATTCCTTCCTTCCCAATGCCCGCGAAGAGGTGTGCACTGGGAGAGCAAATGAATGAATGAGCAAGCTGATGAACTAGTTAGCCCAAAGGCTCCTGAGGTCTCCTGCCTAGTTTCTCCTCTGCTGTTCTCTGCATCTGGGCATGCTCAGTCGAATGCTTAGTTGGGATCCTGCTTGCCAGGTGTGTCAGCCTGTGGCTTCCTTGGCTGCTCTTTTGCCCCTTGCGACCACCCCTCCTGTGCTATGGACACTCCTCCTCCAACCCTGGCACCAACCTGGGTGCTCTTCCCCAGCCCTTTTTCTTCCCACCCCTTCTGGCTCACTTCTCACCATTCATACCTTTGCTCCTTTGCTGCTTCCTCCAGGAAGCCTTCCCTGAAATCTTTCCTTCCACTCCCCAGGGCTATGGGAGAGCACCTCACTCTCTGGCTCCTCAGCCTTCTGGCAACCCTACCTAGCAGACTTGGGGCTTCCTGAGGGCAGGTCTGGGTCTAAGCCCTCTTTCGGTGACCCTGGTGGGAGGAGAAATATAACAGGGCAGTAGAGGTGGAGGAGGCCACTGTGGTGGCAGGTGAATCTACCTTTAAGGAAATTCACCTACATGAATGCATGAAAATCAGGTTTGCTCAAGGACTGTTAGAGCTGTGTCTCACTCTTACAGGGGGAGGTGAAGTGACGTAGAGCGGGAGGAAAGGGTCACACGTGTACTGATCATGTTGCATGTGCATTGTCTCAGGAAGCCATCCTCGCAGCTCTGGGAAGGGGGTGTCATCACCCCCATTGCTACTGAGTTCACCTGAGGCAGTAGGACCAAAACCCTAGTTCTTTCCCGGGGGCTGGCCATGCTGCTTCTGGTCCCTGCTCTGCCCCTGGACTTGCTGGCGCAACACTCCTGCTCTAAGATTCCATGCTTCCTCGAGACTCTTCAGAAGTCCACTAGAGGGCAGGCAAGCTGTTCCAGAGAGAACCCGAAGCCCCTCTGGCAACCTTGGGATTCCTGGCCCCTCTCCAGCCTGCAGGCTCCTCGGGTCCACTTCCTAGACAGAGGTGAATGGTGCGCACTGAGGAATAGGTGGGGCCCCACCCCACAGAGAAGTCCAGTGTGAGGAATCACCCTGCCCACTGGAAGACAGTGAGAGGGCAGCAGATGCCAGCGTCCTGTCCCCCATCCGAAACGCCCAAGTCTTCATGTGTCCGAGGTTTGTCCAGTCTCCAGCCATTTGCATTTCCTATTAAAAGCACATAGGTGACGCTGTCTTGCTCAGTGCTTTCCTGGGCGTTAGCTCACACCGCCCACCACGCCCCCTCTAGGAGGCAGGTGTAACGGTCCCCATGCACAGACAGAAGGAGCAGGCTCTTGCTGGCGGTTCTCTCCCATTGCTGACTTAGACCTTCCTTCTGGGCCCTAGGCCCAGGGTCCGGCTGCCTGCCGAGCACCTTCCGTATGAGCCACGATCACCTGACTGTGCTCTGCCCTGTCCTGGCCAGAACCAGGCGTGCTCACCCCCTCTTCCCTGTCCTTCCCATGACCCTCTCCCTCACCCCCACAATCAATCCCCATGCCCACCTCACCCAGCACCATAGTCTCTGCCTTGGTCCAGACCCCATGGCCCTGGGTCCTCCGTGACAGCCCCGGCCTCCATGCTGCTCCTGCCTCCATTCGCCAACTGGCTCATCACACACACACACACACACACATACACACACACACGCACACGCACACTCACACGCACACACACACGT